TTGGAGCAGCTTGAGGTCGTTTCCTCTTGTCCTGTCCCCTGTTTCCTGGAGCAGAGCCTGACTCCTACCTGGCTGCCCCCTCCTGTCAGGTGTTCTAGAGTGAGAATGTCCCCCTTGAACCTTCTTTTCTCCAGGCTAAGCCTCCAGAGTTCCTTCAGCAGCTCCTGTGCTCCAGCCCCTTCCCAGCTCCATTCCCTTCTCCAGACACACTCCAGCCCTTCAATCTTCTTCCTGAACTGCAGGGCCCAGAACTGGACACAGGAATTGACACAGCCACTCCTGTCCCTGTCCTTGTCCTTGTCCTTGCCTTGTCATGGGTATGTTGAGGAGAGAAGACTGAGAGGAGATCTCATTAATGCATATACATATCTCCAATATCTCCAATGCCAAGAGGATGATCCCAGACTCTTCAGGGGTGCCCAGTGACAGGATGAGAAGCAATGGCAGTAAACTAAAACACGAGAAGTTCCACCTCAACATGAGGAAGAACTTTCCATGGAGCAGGCAGAGCCTTGGAACAGCTGCCCAGGGAGAGTGTGGAGTCTCCCTCTCTAGAGACATCCCAAACACACCTGGACCTGTTCCTGGATGACCCTGCAGAGGCAGGGGGTTGGACTGGATGATCTTAGGAGGTCCCTTCCACCTTTAACCCATCTGGATTCCATGGAAACGAGCCCCAGGCTCCCCTGGCTGCAGGGAAGCTGCCGGGCAGGCAGCCCGGGGAGGTCAGCCCTCGGTCAGGGGGCAGGATGGTGCTTGCCAGCTAAGCAGGTTTTGTTCTCGCTGCAGAAAGAGAGTCGTTTTGTTAAAACACTTGGAAAAATCGGCACGTCCTTCCTCTCTGCCTGGCTGAGAAGAGCTTCCCAGTACTGCAGGGCTGCAGCACCGAGCTGAGCAAACAGCTGGGTCCGACCTCTCCCGAGGCACAATGGGCAAAAGAGAGTGGGACTCTTTATCTGATACTCAGTTAGAAGGAGCAAAGGCTTATTTTCAGTGGTAACCCTGCGTGTGAGGGGTAGAACAACTCTTAGGCTGAGGGATCTGCAAGGACTGAAAATCCCAAGGATTGAAAATGCCACACTTCAACCCAGCCCTAAGCACAGCTGTTATTTTAGTCATTTATTTAATAAATTAACTTTAACTACCATCAGTTACACCATCGTGTGCAAAGATTGCATTAAACATTTGTGTCTCCTTGCATCTCTTAGTCTTTGATATCTAGTGAGTTATCCTCTCAATTTTTTTCTGCTTTTCCCCCCAACATTAATCATAACTTAGAAAAAGGAAGAAATAAATGTGAAAACTGTGAGGTGAGTTTAGAACAAGGAAATGTCACTTGGCCCCAACTGGAAGGACCTTCAAAATCTGAAATGGACATCAGTGTTCTCACCTTTGGTTGGTCCCACACAGAGATAAACTGCATGGGAATTATTTCACAGGACCTTACTAGAAAGAAAAAAAAAATGCATTTCTCATAGGAGAACAGGATGTGGTACAAAATTATTACCAGGAGCACATCCTGGTGCTCTTGGTACAGATGTGGAAGCCGGTCATTCCTGAGCTCTGGTCTCAGTTTTAAAATGAAGTTTTAAGACGTGTGACTCAACTCTCATCTCACCTCCCTAGCTGCAGAGGACTCCTGAGTTTCTACAATCAGGTCAGTTAAGTGCTGGGGAGTCCTTGACCTCCGTGTTGCTCTCCCCTTCCCTGGGGAGCTCTCCAGACTCCGTTCCCGTGTGCTGGCCAGCAGCCTGGCTCCCGGCGTGCTGCCCTGCCGGAGGGGCTGTTCCTGCCCTGGAGAGCCTCAGCACCTCCAGCTCAGTGCGAGCCCAGCTGCATCCTCCCACCCCAGCAGCCAGGCTTCATCTCTAAGGCAGGGTGCAGAAGGTCTTTCTCTGCTTGGCTTTTTTCCTTCCTCTTTGCCACTGCTTTCCTTAGCTTTCCTGGAAAGCCCAGGAATGACGGGAAACAAATGCTGCCCCTTTGCTCTTTCCATGAGGCTGCTAAGGAAACTTCTCATTTTCGGTGCTTGTGCCCCACCAGGCAGGACAATGGACTCTGGAGATATTCCTTTAACCATTGCCTTGCTGGCAGAGCTGAGCTTAAGTCACGCCTCTCTCTATGCCACAGCTCACACAATTTATTTTCTTTTTTGGGCAAACTGCTTTGAAATCTTCCTGGAAGGAACTGCGTGCTAAAACCGAGCCCCCACTTGCCACCTGCTTCACTTACGTTACCCCTTCCTTCCCCTCAGGGCGTCCCCAGCTTCCTTACATAGAAAGGTGGCTTACTCACCACATGCCTTTTGTGTTGGATGATTCAACTTTCTGATGTGTGAAGAAGGGGCAACCACGTAGGAAATATGACCTTTTAAAGACAAGGGGGGATTCCCTTGGCAGTGCTTTCCACAGGAGAAACTCTGGAGAATTGAGAGCGGGTTTGTTGAGAGCAATCACAGCTTGTGGGGCTGCACAAGGAGACCAGAGTGATAAAATTCAGCTTTCAGCTTTTCCCCAGCCTGGACACGCTCTGTGTGAGAGGCTGGCAGGGATCTGTGGGCTCTGGAGAGCCCTTGGACACTCAGCATTGCCCTGTGATGTGATGGGATGTGATGTGATGAGTGTATTTCCACTGCAGCATCATCTGCGTGGGGTAGAACACCCATGGAAACTTGCAGCTACATAAATACCACTGTATTTACCACACAAAACAGGAGGTTAAGGAGCATCCCCAGTTAAGAGAATGTCTTTCTGCATTGTCTGGGGGGCAGAAAGGCCAGGGTGAGCGTAGGGAGTCAGAAATCTGGAGGGAGCCTGCATGGCTGCTGCTGGTGCTCTCCACCACTCTTCCTGCTGTTCAAGTCCCTTGTTCTATTGACCAACAAATTCACACATCAGCCAGCCAGGCTGTGTCAAGGACTGGAGAATTCTTTGCTTTCCACAAGTGTGGGTTTCATGATTAGAGGCCCAGGAGTGCCTGCCCTAGACAAGCCTCTATAATCTGATTTAAATGCCTCGTGCTTCATGTGGCAGATCTGCCAAGAGCATTAACTGAGGTGGTTCACCTGGGCACAGGTGAAATCTCAGCTCGTGTCCGACCATGTGTTTGGTGCTGTGGGTCACTCGCAGATGTTAATGAAGCTGAATTTACCTTGGACATCTTGTGGAACTTACACTAAGTAGCTTTTTAACAGAGGAATATCCACAAGCTTCATCATAGCTTGTCAGAGAAGACTAGAAATAGAAAAAAATCCACACCTGAGCTGTGAGGGGGTGTTTGGGGGATCGGAAGGATTTAAAATTATCGGAATCTTTGGAGCTCAGTGAGGTTGAAGAGCTCACACCTCAGCGTGAGCTTCTCAGAGCTATTTTTCCTGGATCTCCTGCAAGACCATTTTATTTTTGAACTCAATTGAAGACCCAGATTTCAAATGTTTCTCGTGAATAAGACACTTATATTCCTCAGTGGAACTGTTGAAGTCAGCATTTTGGGATGAAATTACCATTTTTATTCCTTTGAGTATGTGGGACATGGGAAGTTGTTGGTAGTTGATCCTTTACTTAGGCCAGTGGTAGCACCACACCTGGAGTATTTCTGAGTCCTTTTTAAACTGCAAATGATTCAGAGGAATCATTGCAGACTATAACAAGTTTTTCTATTTTGCCTATCAAACCAAGAAAATGAGCTACATCTTTTTATGTGGTCCTTACTCTGATATTATCTCCCAAAGAATTCCTTGCATGTACTCCTGCCAGTATCTGTCTGTCTAAGAGATGGAAGCACTCAGCATCATCAAAATGCCTGCTTGCCTTTGCTGTCCTTTCTCTTGCTTCCTAACTCCCCTCTGAGCTCCCTTTTTCCTCCCTTTTGCCTCCAGGACCATCTGTGCCACTGAGTTTGTCACCCTTGGCCTTTCAGAGGGACACCAGGATCTGAACTAGTTTGAACTAGTTTGGCAGAACAAAACAGCACTTCAGACCCTGAATTATGAGACACTGCAAACATGAAGAGCTCCCCTCCTGCTCCTTTGGCCATCAGCTGATGCCTTGAAGCATGAGGCAGGATAATGTGGGTACCAGTGTGGAATGACAGAGGCTGCTCGTCATCTGCATGGAGCAGAGTGTCTGATTAGCAGCTGCTGTGACTTACAGGGGAATTCCACGTGGGAAGGGCTGAGCAGACACAGGGGAAAGGCCTTCCAAAGCACTGGCTTGTCTGGGTGCTATGAAAGAGCAGAGCTAAAGATAAAACACTTCCACAGGGCAGCGAAGCAATTGGGAAAGCAGCCTGTGCCTTCAGGGCATTGCTGTTCATGGAAAAAGCTCTGCTCTGAGCTCAGAGCCAGCCTGCTCCCCTCCAGCGTGAGAACCAGAGATCCTAAATCCAGAGCAGTCACAAACACCGTGGTGGGGAAGACACTGCCCTGAGAAACAGCTGCACACGTGTGGGAAGTGTGAGTGCTCCCTGTGTGACACGGCATTCCATTCCATTTCACTCCATTCCATTCCACTCCATTCCATCCCATTCTGTTCCATCTTGTCCCATTCTGTCCCATTCCATTCCATTCCTTTTCGTCCCATCCCATCCCGTCCCGTTCCATTCCATCTCATTCTATTCTGTTCCATTCCATTCCATCCCATTCCATCCCGTCCTGTCCCGTTCCATTCCATCTCATTCTATTCCGTTCCATTCCATTCCATTCCATTCCATCTTGTCCCATTCTGTCCCATTCCATTCCTTTTCATCCCATCCCATCCTGTCCCGTCCTGTTCCATTCCATCTCGTTCCGTCCCGTCCCGTCCCATCCCATCCCATTCCATTCCATTCCATTCCATTCCATTCCATTCCATTCCATTCCGTCCCAGCCCCTCCGCGCGCTCCCACGGGCGCCCCCAAGCGGCCGCCCCCCGCCTTCATGCAAATGAGCGCGGGGCAGCGGGTGCTGATTGGCTGCGGCGCGCAGCGGTGGCGCCGCCCCCGGCGTGTGGCGGTGTCCGCAGCCAGGTGCGCGGGTCGGGGCCGTGCTGCTCCGCTCCGCTCCGCACCGCCACCATGACCGTCACACGGCTCGACCAGGGCCAGCGCTACCGCCCGCGGATGGCCTTCCTGAAAAAGGTGAGGGCTCAGCAGCGCCGGGGACACCCGCACATTATGGGCACGCCGGGGCCGGTCCGGGCGGGGCGTGAGGTGATGCGCGTTCACAGCACCTTGCTCGGCCACCGCTCCCCGGGACACCTCTGGGCATGTGCGGTCCGAGGGGGACAGCCCCTCCCCGGGAGTTTGGAGCCGTGACCTGTTGCGGAGCGCCCTGGATCCCAGCTGGCTCGGGGGGCAGGCTGGAGAGGCAGCGTGTGCTGAAGTGATGGAGAAAATAGGACTGTCATGTTATTTATCTTTTGTAGCTTATCTCAGCTGAATGGTTGCCCTGACACGTTTTCTCCCTCTTCCATTATTATTTTTTTTTCAAAGTCCCTCGAAGCTGCGTCCGTTCCCAGGGAAAAACCCATTATCTGCAGTGCCAGTCCACTCAGTGTAGCTCTGCTCTAGTCGGTCCAGTGTGTGTTCCCAGTGCTTTCAGCTGATCTCCACGTTCTGAGCGTGTATTACAGCCTGCTCTCTGCCTCCTTCCAGTTTTTCAGACATGAGTGTATTGTGGCCAGAAGCAGTAGAAGGAGTGGGATGGTGTATGCCCACGCTTTTGGATGTGATGTGTAATTTTGTGCAGCATTTGGTGGGCTTTTCCTGTAGCATTCATTCAAAGCATAGGCAGTTGTAGTGTAGCTGGTACTGCTGATTTTAAAAAGCAGAGTGTTAAGCTAGCTTTTCTCCCACCCACCTCTCCTGAGTGTGGCTTATCCTGTTGGATGGAATTAACTAAATTTCCAGTGACAAGTACAGCCAGCAGGTTGTTGTTTGAATTGTAGTTAGCTTTCCTCCACGCCCACAACCTAAGGAGGATTCCGGGGGTAAAGGGAGGGGAATTTGGGGCTATTCAATGCTAAGGTATAAGCCTGGCAGTACTTACTACACCAGAGGAAGTAAAGAGGGTATTTTCTTTGGTGCTATGTCTTGCAGGGTAAATTTGGCTGGGGAGCCCTGCCAAGGGAAATACTCCAGGCCAAATTCTGCACTGAGTAATACTCAGTGGAGTTGTGTGCGGGGGTGCAGAGGAGGAGCTGTGCTTTGAGAAAACAACTGCCTGCAGCTGTGCTTCAGCTGCTCGTGGGAGTGCAGCAGGCTCTGCAGAGCGCTCCGAGTTCCTCAGGTGGGAAGATCAGTCAAAACACAGCCAGTGCTGTTACAGAGTGTGCACGGCTCACACTGAGAGCAGCCAGGGGGGCCGAGCACTTCAGTGCTTTGCAGGTCCAGGACCTGCTAGCAGCAGGAAGGGAAGCTCCTGGTGGTCAGTGAAAGCCCTTGGCTCTCATCTCCACTTTCATTCCTGCTGTTTTTTCCAGACCTCGGAGGAGCCATGGAGGCTTGGCTGTTGCATGGCAGTGTGGTCTATGTGCAGACAGGCACATCCTCAGAGCTGCCTGGGAACACCAGGCACCTTTACTGGTGCCCATGGCAGGAGCTGAGGATGCTCATCGTGCACCCAATGAGCACCTTACAGGCTTAGACTCATGAGGAGCTAAAATCCTCGAAAGAAGCTTTGTTAATTGCCTAAGCCTGTGCTCACGCTCTGCCATCAGCTGGCACTCGCTGTGCCTGGGCGGCTGCAGCTGCAGGGAGGGATTCCTGCCATGCTGCCAGCCCGTGGGCCCTGTGTGCATTCACAGCTGCCAGCACCCCTCTGTGCTGCCTCTGCAGCAGGAAGATGGTGACCACAGCAGCAATCCTGCCATGGGACACGGAGAGAGCACAGGGGGTTACTGTAGGGGTGGTGGGCAGTGCCCTGCTCTTGCTGTGAGGCTGCTCTGAACAAATCAGGCTGGATGTGCAGCTTGCTCTTTGTGGCTGAGCTATGAGGGGACCAGAGGCCTCCAGAGCCCTGTAACACCTGCTCTTCATGCTAGCACTTAGATTGTTTTATTCTGTTTTTTCCTCCCCTTCTAAACCATACTGGCTGGAGGAAGAATGACCCAAAAGTCTTTTGGGATAGCAAGCAAGCCTCTGAAATGATTTTGGCTGGATGCTGTGAGAGCTTGAATGAACCCAAGCTCTTGGTGCCTGTGCCTGCTCCAGCAGCCAGATGTGGCTCTGCTGGGCATCAGCTGGCAGAGCTGGGCTGTGCTCTCAGGAGCTCCTGGGCTGGGTATTTTTCCTTGCTGTGCTACACGAGCTGCACAGTGACTCACACCTTGTGGGTAGGGCTGATGGATGCCTTCTTCCTCTGCCTCCTCCTTCTTCCCTGCCTCCTCCTCACTCTGGTCCCTGCTGGCTTCTCCCAGGCTGTGCAGCAGCCAGGGAGGGGCTGTTCCAGGGTCTGCAGCATGGCTGGGGGCTTCTCCAGGCTGAGACTTTCCAGCAGCTGCTGGGCCTCATCTTCCTGGGCATTTCCAGAAGTGTGTGAGCAGCTGAATTGTGTTTTTGCTGGAATCCAGCAGATTCCTGCTCTCTGAGGCCCTTGGTATGGCTGAAACTGAGCCTTAAGCCAAGCTCAGCCTCATCCCATCCTCCCTTTCCTTGTTCCAGGCTGGGAGATGCCAGTGCCACATCTTTCTTTGGAAAAAATCCCCTCCAGACTGGGAAGAGCCAGCTACAGCCCTGCGCTCCCCACTCACAGATTTGCTTCCTTTAGCTGAGGCATCACTCAGTGAGAACAAGCCACTTCCCCTCAGCTTTAATTAAGAAAAAGCCAGAAGTTTTAGCTGGTTAACAATGGATTTTTTTCATTTTTTCTTTTTTCTGATCATCCATCAACGTGCAAAGCAAGGCTGATGGTTGTAGACCTAGAAAACAATTGAATGAGCCTTCAGAGGCCAGAGTGGGGATAAGGACTGTGTTGTTACCTTGGAAATCAGAGCAGGTAGGGCTGATCCTTGCAAACAGCAGCAGGCAGTGACGGGGGCTAGAACCAGGCAAATAGGGTGGAGAGAGCAGCAGATGTTTAATTGCAGCACCAGGACTGTTCACTCAGCTGGGAACTGGAGATTCCTGCTGGGAAAATTGATCTTTCTTGTGTCTGAAGCAAAGATGCCCCTGTCTGGGTTGATGCTGAGAAGGGCTGAGCTTCTCATCGCTGCCTGGGGGCTATGTACAAATCACAAACAGGACAGGACTGCTGAGGAATGTGTTTTGAGCTGTTGTATTTTTTAGCATCAGTCTCATTACATGGTTATGACAATGGGAAGATGCTATCAGCTCACATCTTAGGCAGCAGACTAAGAACTTAATGTTACAACTTACTTTAAAAGTTTTTTGACCAATCACACAAAGCAAAAACATGTTGACAGTAGTTCCATCTAATTGCTATAAGCACGTCCCTTTGGTTAAAACAATGCTTGCTTATTTTGGATATAATGCTTGTTTTTAAGCTTTAAAACACAATGCACAGAGCTCCATTATTAAGCTTAGAACTTCCTAATATCTCACTAGATAGACTTTTCTGCAGCTTAGGGAGTTATTCTAGCCAAGTGTTAATACACACACTGTTGCTCTATTTGTTCTTACTTTTCTACTTCTTCTATATATATTTCTTTTGCTGACTTATCTTACGGCTACTGCTTAGCTCTAATAACAGTTTTTCTGTCTTTGAGGCTTGTCTTTTGTAGAGCTTTAAAACCTTTTTGATTTTATGGATTCCCACACTCCTCACCTTGGCAGTGTTTTGCTGTTGCGTTTCTGAGTCTCAGCACCTGGAGTTTGTTTTTCCTGCATTGTGGATGCCCTGATCCTGGGGGGCTGGTGGGTGCCCAAAGGGTGGAGCTCAGGCAAATAGGGTAACTCAGCCAAGCAATCCATCACTGCTCCATGCTGCAGGAAAGCATCCATCCTCCTCCTCCAGAACCATGGACACCCCATCAGTTGGTGGCCACTTGCCTCTCCCTGGGGCTTCCACGGGCTCCTGAAATCCAGTGATGGTTTTTCTCACTGTATGGGAGTTTGAGTTCTGCTTTGCACTCAGTGAGCTGAACCCTGTGAGTTGGTGCAGTCAGAGGGGACAGACAGTTTTCCTGTTGTGTCCTGTGTGGCTTTCAGGGTGAGTTCACCTCCAGGCAGAGATTCCAGCTGATCTGAAGGGAAATCCCCAGGGGGCTCCTGCCTTGTGATGTCTGTGTGTGTGAGATGAGCTCTCCCTGGAGCCTGGCTCCTTCCACAGTCCTGATATTTACCTCTGTGTGTGTCTCCACCCATCAACCAGTCAGGAAGTGGCTTCTGGCTCTGCGAAATTCAAACCAGACAGCTCTTTCCTGGCTGAAAGTGTGACAAAATGTGCTAGAGCCCTTAGCAAAGCAATGAAGTGTTCCTGCTGTGTCTGAAGCAGCCCTCCTGGCCTCCCCTGGCAGCCTGGTGCTGACAGCAGCTCCTGATCCTGTAATCCACTGTTCCCTTGGGAGAAAAGACACAGACAGGCTGAGGTTTGATCAGCAAGGTGGATGCTTTGCAGCTCCTTACTTTTTAATATATTTGTCATTTCTCCAGTGACAGGAGGGAGTATGGCAGAGTGTGAACACCACGAGAGTTGAAGAGTTTCTGGGTAAAGGAAGGGAACATGCTGTGCTGGGGGCTGTGGGGGTTTCTGAGCCATTCCCTGCTCTCAGCTGGTTGAAGATGTGTCTCTGGAGCCCACCTGGAGAGCAGCAGCTGCGTGCTGGAGCAGGATGTGCTGTGCTGCCTGCCTGGAACACAGATCCTGGTGGGATCTGCCAGGTGGTCACTGCATGGACACAGAGGGATGAGCAGGGCTGTGTTTGCCCCCAGCATCTCTGTTCTCTGTGAAGGGACTGCAGTCACAGAGGGTGACTTCCCAAGGTACCTGGCTTTGCTTAGAATGCCAGTTTCCTAAAGAGTGCCCTGCCTGCCTCACCTCATCCCACACAGTTGAACTTTCTGCGGTTGAAATTGTGAGTTCTGTTAAAAGATCTAAAAATGTCTTCATATTCCATCTCTTCTGCTTTGGTTTTGCTCTTTTAAAATATTTTATAAGTATTTATACAAATATTTATGTTAAATTTTACCAGGCTTCTCCATTTTAGCATTAATATGTCAGTGCCTTTAAAAGCAGTTGAAAATCTGGTTTTACTGACAAGCCCAGAGTGTATCCTGTCACTACAGCTTAAATCCTCACAGAACTTGGCAAGACTTGGGACCAAAGTCACTGTGGTGCCTGTGAAGACAATGCCCTCCATTATATGTGTGTGTCATCAACTCACACTGTTAAATCCTCTGCTCTCAGTTAAAAAGCTACAGCCTCACCCAAAACAAATGTGTGGAGAGACCAAATTGGTCCTGTTGGACCAGTTTTGATTTAATAGCCCTGGAAGCAGAAGACAAAAAGAAGAACATCTTCCCCAAAGCTCTCATGACAGTCAGATAATCAAAAACGAGATGAGGAGTGTGCCCCAGCACAGATCCCAAGTGAAAGCAAAGCTTTGTGCTTTGGGAGTGGTGCTGGGAGGAAGACAAAGAGGAGGAAAATACCTTTGAAAATCTTTATATTTTAAAAAAGAAATAAAGATAATTGGGAATGAGGAATAGAAGTTGTCTGGCCCTGAGTGTGAGACTCATCCTGTTAAAAATGAGTCACCAGGATCCCTGAGGAGTCCCGGGTGGGAGGTGATGTGCATCCAGAGAGGAGGATGTGCCTGCCCCATCCCTGGAGGGGCTGGGTCCTGGGTGGGGGAGGAATGGTCAGAGAGCCCCTCACACACCTCCTGTGCACCCCTTACAGAAGCACAGGTTTTATTCCCTCTCCGTTTTTCTTTCTAAGTGCTCAGTGAGCCAGAGAAGAACCTTTCTGGGTGTAGTGGGGTGTGAGTAGCAGAGAATTAATTTTTTTTTGTTTTGCCTTAGCTCTCATGGAGTGGTTCCATCCTGTCCCTCCTGTGCTAGCCCTGGCTGTGTGTGTGTCCGTGGCAGTGTGAGCTGCCATGGGCTGCAGGTGGAGGGCTCAGAGAGGGCTGTGGCACACCAGTGCCCAGCCTCTGGAATGCTGGCTTCCCTCTGCCCACTCCTGGCATCCATCCCATCCCTTCCCCTCTCCTGCTTTGCAGATCGAAGCTCTCATGATGGAGATGCAGAGCCCAGACACAGGAATCAAGACACAGACACAGGCAGTGATGGTCACCAGCATCCCCCACGCTGTGACAGGTAAGAGCTGCCCTGGGGGCAGGGACTGGGCCCAGTTCAGCACAGAAAATCTGCCTGTGGAGCCCCTGGGCAGGGCTGCCAGTGCCTGGCTGCGTGCTGGAGCTCTGTTCCCAGTAAATATCAGCTGTTCATCATTTGAAATGTACCTGCTCCCTTGATGTTGTTCTCACTCGTGTCTCATCTCATTCCTACTCTTTGAGTCAGACGAAGGTGGATCCCCAGGCACTCTCAGCTGTCTCCTGGGGGTTAACTCAAGTGACCTTGCCTTAGCACAGAGGTGAGGACATGCTGCAGCCTCCAGACCTCCCATGCTCCCAGTAAGGCTGCATCACAAATAAAGATAAATATTAAAATCCAATTGAAACAAGCAGCCTGGAGGCAGACTGAAAGATGGTACTTCAGAAATGAGCAATTAACAATTAGTCTTCCTTTTAATGTTTACTGCTAGTAATAATTTTTCTTGAGTAGGCAGGAAAAGAACAAAATATTCAACCCACTTCTGTGCCTGTAAATGACAGCTTTGCCTCCCTCAAGAGGCTGGAGGAGCAGCAGACAGGGGTGTGCTGTGTCATGTGCAGTGTTACAGGCAGCTCTTGTCACAGCCTCCTCGTGCCTGCTACTCCTTTCAGCAGGCACTATCAGTACCTCTGCTTCCCTGCTCTCCAAGCCTCCACAAAAGCTCTTGTGAGGAATCCTCTGCTATAAATATTCACACATACTCCATACCCAAGTTTCCTCCTCCTGCTTCTTTCTTCAGCACTTGGAAATTCAGAACAAAACCTCCCACTGAAACAAAGTGAGTTTGCTCCAGGCAAGTCAAGAGAATTCCCCCACTGTGTTTGCAGAGCTTGGTAGGCTCAATGTGTTGTTTGCCCCAATTAAAAAAAAAAAAAAGGGGGGGGGGGCAGAGGCCCTGAAGTCACTTGCCCAGGGGAAGAGGCAGTCAGTGGAAGGCTCAGGAGAACCTGGACACATCTGAAGCCTGCTCTCAGCCTCACGCTCCCTGCCCTGCAGTGCAGACCACATCCTGGCTCACACAGCTGTTCTGCAGCTGGGCTGGGTGGAGGCTTTGCCTGTACAAAGGAGCTTCCCAGAGCTGTCAGGGAATGGTTAAGGCAGCACAAAGAGGAGATTCCCTGTGCTGAGGATGACGTCTCACACAGATCAAGTGCAGGGGACGGAGAACTTCTCTTGATGTCTGCCCAATGTAAAATCCCACTTCCTAAAAGTCCTTGGGTGTCTGATGTCTTGGCACTGACCCTCAATGTGTGCTGTCTGCTTTACTCTGCTTCCTTAACTAAAATTGTTCCAAGTTCCCTCTTGCACAAGTCATAAATTCTAGTCCATCTCTGAGAGGCAAGTGACTTCCACTCCCCCTGTGTGCTGGTCATCCCTCTCTAAAATGATATTTTTAGTGCTGCATGATACTGATTGGCTTCTGGGTGTTGCAAAAGAGATTGATTCATTTTGATGAGGGTGTGGTGGAGATATTGGAGCAGGGGACACAGATCCATTGGAGAGAGCCTGGCTCTGCCTGTGCAGGAAGCTAACTAGTTAAATTCAGTGAAAGTCAGTAAAATGGCTCACAAATAAACCTCGATGTTAAATGTGCACCTTTGGGGGAAAGTGCTTACAGAGGGAACTGTCTAGAAATGAGTGATGAGATAATCCTTTAATTTCATCTATTTCAGGAAGCAGGCAGTAGGATAAGAGCTCTGAGCCCCTATTAGAAAGTTAAGTCATCACTGCAATGTCAAGAAAGGTCAACACCTCAGTCTGCAGTCCTAGGGGAGGTTTGGAGGAAAAGGCCAGTAACTGGTCAGGGAACAAGTGCCTTTTTGCCCTCTTTAAATGGAAGGAGGTTCATGGAATTTGCTTCTCAGAACGTAAAACTAAAACTGCTGGAGGTTTATGCTGCCTATGGTGGGTACAACTGCTCCCAGTCCAACAAAAGAACTGGGAGATAAAATGTATGTGAATTTGATAAATGCTGTAACCACTGCAGCTTGGATCTGAGATTTGGACATCTCTTCTGCCCATTAAAGGACTCTTAGAGGATCAGGCACTGGTCTTCTACAAAACTGAGACAGGACTGTGCTCTGTGGCTCTGGAGCTTCTGTGCAGTGAATCTTTCCAGGCAAGGTGGAGCAAAACCTCCCCTTCCCTGGTGAGAAAGCTGTTGCATCCTTAAGCCCTTTCTAAGCCTCTGATGGGGGTTTGGATGCTGCTGAGGCCATGTGAGCTGGTGGCACTCTCTGTGCCATGCCAAGGTCACTGCCTGCCTCAGGCTGGGTGCCCTGGGGGTGCCAGCATGGCCCAGCAGTGCATTTCACCTGTGCCTCCTTGCACTTGAAAGCACATTTGCAGAAAAGAGGACTGTGCCCTCATGGGATCCAGGGCACAGTGAGGGGCGAGGACTGCAGAAATCTCCTTCCCCCTGTGGATTTGGGCACACTCCTGATTTCAGTGCCTGACCTTTGCTTTGCTTTGCAGGTAATGATATAATGCAGTGGATCCTTCAGCGCTTGCAGATCACTGCAGAAGGTGGGTAAAAATGTGAGAATTGAGCCTTTCTCAGCTTCCAGCCATAAAACCAAACTCTCAAGCAGCAAAACCTTTTAGTTGAATTCTCCCCTGCATAAGAGCTCACTTTTAATTCCAGTGAAGTGTTTCTGTGCAATGAAAACATCTGCATTCTCCATTTTCAGAGGCACTCCACCTGGGAGACCTGTTTGTCAAATATGGATATATCTACCCTCTTCAGGAGCCAAAGAACCTCACCCTGAAGGCAGATGGCAGCCTCTACAGGTTTCAAGTGAGTTGCAGCTCCTCTAAGCTGTTGAGAGGGAGTTCAGCTCTAGTTTTTATTGAAAACAGGCAGCTGGGGCAGTTCCCAGGAGCTGTGTAGCTGTGCAGGAGGAAGGAAAAGACTCAGAGAAGTCTGCACAGAGAAGACTGAGATTGCAGTTTACAGGGAAACTGTGATAGTTTCTTAAATGAAATGAGTGTACTTGTTCAACCTAAAAATAGCTGTGCTTTCCTCCAAAGAGTGTTCCCTTCCAGGTCTTAAAGTAGCAAATGGACACAGAACGATGAGGGGGCCCTGAATAATGAATATACAAAAAGCACAGTAAGAACAGGATGGTGTTGAGGTTCATGGCTGGACTATTTCCACTGCTGTCAGTGGGAAATCAGGATATTCCTGGTACTTGGAATGAGTCCATGACTTCAGGGCCTGTGTGCACTAACAGGAGGCTCCTTCCCTTGCAGACCCCCTATTTCTGGCCAGTACAGGGCTGGGCTGCTGATGACACAGACTATGGTGAGTGGTGGCACTGCCTGTGCCCAGGGTGTGGGTTTGTCACACAGTCCAGGGGTGCCCAGGGAGTGGGTTTGTCACATAGTCCAGGGGTGCCCAGGGGTGTGGGTTTGTGCCACAGTCCTGCTCCACACCTGCTCTTCTTGTTCTTGTGCTGTGTCTCCACTCACAATGACCAGCCCTGGCATTTTTTTCATGCTATTTTGTGAATAATTCTCAATAATGATGAATTGAGGGTGTGACCATCTTGTGGTGGCCTTGATGAGAGAAAGTGCTTAAGCTCTTGTGTTCCACTAAGATCCATCACACAGGAACACATCTGAATTACCTTGCTGGGGAGGGAAGACTTTAAACACAAGATCAGATTTCCCTGAGCAGTTAAGTGTGTTCCTGGATCTGAGCCCAAGGCTGTCTTCCTGTAGATTTGGATCAAGCCCTGCATTCAGAGATGGTTCTTTCTTTGTAGAAAGCACAGTGACTTCCAATATCTCCTGATGGCTTTTTTCCATGTAAATCTCTTGTTTCAAACCAAGACATTGTCTTTATGTTGCTTTTTGTAGTAGAGCTGATCATGAATCTTGGGCTGATCAGCTGGGTTTGCTGCTGTGAGCTGTGCAGTTCACAGACTGATTTGTCCATGCCAGGCTTGTCCTCTGTGGTTTTTATCTGCATTATGCTGTAAATCTCCCAAGAAAATAAAATGTTTTTATTAGAACTTGAGCAAAAAACACTGGCCTGTGCTCAGAAAACTTGGAGGTCAAGCTCTGAGGAGCCTCAACACCTGGAAGGTTTGGCCCAGTGTCCCTTGACCCATGGAAGGCTGGCTGAGCTCCCCAGGGAAGGGTGGCAGAAGGCACACGCTGCCTGTCCTGCCTGGGCATCAGTGACATCCCAAAAGCACCAAGTCCTTTTCTCTTCACTGAGCTTTCGTGAGCTTGGAGCTCATGCCTGGGAAGATATTGTAGCAGACAAAGGCTCCTGTCTGTAATGTGGGTAAATTTTTAATTATTCTTGGACTTGTTGTATAAGTGACTGCTAATTTGCTTCTACTTCCACAGCAATTTATCTAGCAAAGAAGAACATTAAAAGGAAAGGGATTTTGGAAGAATATGAAAAGGTGAGGAGACACTGCACTTGTTCTATTACAAGACCCTCATTTGCTACAACTTAAGCCCTTTGTTGCTGATGAGTGGGGCACAGCAAAAAAAATCACCTCTTCAATTGCATGAGGTGTTTCTCCAGCAGTATCAAAGGCCAAGATTTTGCAAGTGAAAAAACGACCAGTACAGAAAACTACTGTGAAGTCAATCATAATTTTAGCAGGGGTAATTGCTCTCCTTGCAATGGTATTTTTGAACTGTTGCAATTCTTGTAATTACATGCAGAACAATCCAGATTTCTTGGCTCAGTGGCCAGCCTGGCCTTGTTGAACTATGGAGAGTCAAGAAAACCGCAGCATGGGAGTGCCCTGGTCAGAATTTTCACACTAACTGCTTTTTTATTTTTATTCCAGGAACATTACAACATGCTCAATCAAAAAATAAACTACAAGTGGGATTTTGTCATTATGCAGGCCAAGGAGCAGTATAAGTGAGTTGAATTGCATTCCCTTGTTTGCATTACTGGGGAGGGTGTGAGGAGCAGAGCTTGGCTTAGTGCACAGTTCAATCACACATTAAAAACACCAAAATGGCTTGAAAATGGCTTGGAGTGGAGGTTTAGATTTTGCACTTGATGTGGTTCTGTGCAGAAGCTGGGTTCTGATGCTGCAAGCCCTAATTAGAAACAACTTCATTTAGCTCAGTGTTCTCCATGAGAATTTGGGATCGAGCCCTGGACTTAGGGCCTGTTGCTGATCTGGGTCAGGAGTTACTGGCACATCTCTCAGCTGAGTGGAGTGAATCAAGAAGCAGTAATGGTCCCAGCAGGGACTTCTGCAGAAAACTGAAGTGCATCCTTAGGTACCCAGCTAAAATGACTTGATTTTAGGAACTGAAACCTTCAAATTCCCAGGAAACTTGGTGAACATGAGATGGGAATACTCCTTTAGAGCTCTTTCCTGCTTCTGTGGACTCACCTTCCTTTACCTCCTGGCAGGGCAGGCAGTGTCTCTGCTGCTCAGCAGCCTCTCTGTTCCCTGGGATGGCAGCCAAGTCCTCGGAGTACAGCTCATCAGATAACTGTCTCATTAAACAGAGACTGTTGTTCTTGTAAATTGAGGTCAGACTTGGGCTAAGAGATGCCAAATGCAGTTTCAAAGTTAGATACCCAGCCTGTGTCTGAAGCAGTAGATTAAACTCGTCTGAGGCTGTTTGATGGTGCTGCTGGGGCAGACTGGTGCAGAGCACCCACCCTGTAACCACAGCAGGGAGGCCGCATGCAGACAGCCTGTTGGGAATGTTCCCTTCCCCATGCTAACTCCCAAATTGTGCTCAGGACTTTTCTGGGAAAGAATTAGTTGGTCCAAGCCCAAACCATGCTAGTGCCTCTTCTGTTTAATTGTGGAGGTGATTTGGGTTTTAGTGCCTGGGAACCCTCCTCAGAACCATTTCCAAGCAGTTTCTTTGAGAAATGCCTGTGCTTTACTGAGAGACAGGGATGAGACATGTCCAGGGTGTATCTCTGGGTGGCAGTCCTTGGGGACATGGGACAGGGACAAAGGTGAAGCAGCAGGACCGAGGGCAAGTCAGCAGAGAGCTCCCAGAGGGCTGTGTGCCTGATCAGAAGGGGATGTGTCTGCTCCCAGCTCAGCTCAGGAAGATGATGATTTCTCAAAAGCCAGAGTCATGTGTGGCCATGTGAACATGATGTGCAGCCCAGAATAGCCAGGACAGGATGTGGTCAGGGGTGGCATCAGGGCAGCCGGGACCCACGGGGCACAGCAGGCTGGAGGTGTGCCCTGCTTCTCATCCCACTGATTTTAGGAGGGCATAATTCCTGAATTCCCCTGTTCTTGGCTTTGCAGGGCAGGGAAGGAGCGGAAGAAGGAGGACAGGTATGCCCTGGACTGCCAGGAGAGAGCCTACTGGCTTGTGAACAGAACTCCTGTGAGTAGAGGGTGAAGGGTGACTTCAGTGACTCGGTGGTGCCCTCCCTGCAGCCACCTGGGACAAGCTCCCATGTGGAAAGGGCACAGCCTCTGGGCTGAGTGCCAGGGGAGGGCCAGCCCAGCCCTGCCCTGAGTCCCCACCACCTTTCCTTGGTTGTTCCCAAAGCTGCAAGGGACAGAGGTGCAGCTGCAGCTCAAAGAGGGGCATTCCCAAATCTGGGAGTTCCCAAGGCACTGCTGGCTGGGAGCTGCTGCCCGTGGAGGTTTGGGGGTCTCCTCCTGCATTGTGTGATGCACAGCCTTTAAACCAAATGAGTTACAAAGCTTTGTTTGTTGTTCGCCACAGCCAGGCATGCTGGATGTCCTCGAGTATGGATTAGACCGTGTCACAGATCCCAATGAAAATAAGGTAAACCAGGTGAGACAGGTTTTTCTTTACACGCCTACTCAATTTGTCTGGGAGGACCCAGAAAACGTCCCTGGGGTTGTCATTTTTTGGGCACTGCAGGCTGAGTGTGTCAGCTCAGCTCTAACAGCTGAACAGGCCAGCGGTTGAGGCTCTCTCACCCCGGAGGTGAGGCCCTCAAAATAGGCTTTGGCAGCTTCTTCTGCCTTGAAAAGACTTTGTCAGCTTTCTTGCCACACCAGTTAGTGTGAGTGCTTGGCTGCAGGACATGTTTTCTTTGCTGGTGAAGCTGAACTAAGGAATGCTCTATCTCCAGGTGCTCCTTGCTGCCTTTGTATGAGTGCTGAATGAACTTTGTGGGGTGTAAAGGGTCAGTGCAAAGATCCAGGTTTAAAATCAAATTACAGAATACCTCCCAGAGGGTAATTAATGTGTGATAAGAAGATGAAGAAGTTGGTGTGGTGGATAGGAGACACAAAATGTTGCCAAAAATGCATACTGTAGACCATAAAGAAACATATTCGGTGAATGGAGAGCGTGAGGGCTGTAACTGGGTGAACTGGTCTGAAATCACAGATCCAGTCACTGGATGAGGAGCTGGAGTTGCTGTTCCCTTTCCCCATCAGCCCTCTGAGATGATCCTGTCTTTGTGCCCTTAACAGTGTTCATTTGGAAGCAAAGTCAAAACATCTCTCAGCAATTCAATGCAAATGTTTCTGCCATCACACTCACAGCGTTCCCACAACTTCCCATTCTTGTAGCAGCCTTTAAACATCTCAGCAGCCAAGGCAGGATAATTGCTTTGGCCAGCTGTGTTCTGTTGCTATAGAGACTGAAAAGGAGCAAACTGTAGGGTTGGGGTGTGTTTTATTTTTTTTTTTCTTGCTGTAAGTAGCAGCTGCTGAAAAGCCTTTTTTTTTTTTTTTTCTTTTTTAAGAGTAAAGAAGTAGTGGCAAGGGAGAGGGATAGTGAGAGGAGTAAGCCAACTTCTCGCCCACAGTTTTACAGCTGACATGGAAGGGATTTTAGGTTTGCAAACGGTCTGAGGGGCTCCATCCATCTGCCAGCTGCCTGGTGGCACAGGGGGAGGGAGCTGAGGGATCTCTGCCCACTTCCACCCTGGCCATAAGAGACAGGGGCAGCTCCAGGGAGGGCAGAAGCCAAAGGACACTAGCTTTGGGGTGACTTCCCTGCCCTTCTCCTTTAAGCTGCTCTCTGAGCTGTGCCTCCCCTCTGGAGGCTGAGCTGAAGAGGGAAGATTCTCCTTGCTCCTCTTGCTTTTGAAAGAGTGATTGAGAATACATGAGACAGCCAGGAGCCCTCATGGGGGACCTTTGGACCAGCAGCTTTGGTTTTGTTCTCTGCTCTCACCAACACCTGTGGCTCAGCAGCCTTTGGTGAGCAGAAAGAATGGGCCAAGCTCTGATTTGTGTCCCTGTTCCTGCTCGATCTGCTTTCGCTTTGTTGGCCAAATTATGGAGTTTTTTATCTTGGCAGTTGAGAAGGAAAGAAAAAAATGAATTCCTGATTTCTTTGAAGCTGACATTAGCATGAGCATCTCTCTTGCTCAGACCCTTGCTGGGCTTCTTCCCCCTCACAGATAGAGTCCTCTGGGGATAAACAGGTGCTCAAGCTGCTTTGAAGGGGACTTTTATTACTGATCCATGGGCAAACCTCGTGGTTACAATGAGTTAGGGGTTGTGGATGGGCAGGAGTCAGGCAGGAGTAGCCACCCATCGAACAGCTAATTAAGGGATGCTTTAGCCTTTTGTTGTTGGCTCTCAGCTTCACACCAAGCCTCTCTGCTTGAAGAGTGACCACTGAGTGCCTGCAGGCTCCTGCACAGCCTCTGCCTCCTGGAACCAGAGCTTTAGCTCCCCCAAAAATCTCTGTGCTGCATTCAGGGGCTGCTGAGTGAAGTGCCCTGGTTTGTTGTGACAGATCAACGAGTCATTGCTGGCCTTTAATTCCATAAATCCCTGCCAGTTTGCCTGATAAAGTTCTGCTGCATCATCACAAGTTTGGAAAGCACAGGGTCAGGGGCAGATAAACAAGGCAGGAGGAAAATGGCCATTTGAACAAAGCTGGGGACATGGATTTGATTTCCAGCTGCAGGGCTGGATGCACCAGCACAGTGGAGATGAGTGTTGGGATGATCTAATGCCAGAGTCAAGATTTGCCTCTGCAGGCTCTCAGCTGGCTGAGTGCAGGGAGCAGGGCTGCCCTGAGCAGGGGTGTCGGGGTGTGCAGAGGCAGCTGGGCTGCACTTTGCAGGGTTGGGAAGGCAGATTTCCTGCCCAGAGCTCTGGAGGGAGGCTGGGCTGGCTCTGCCCTGTGCTTAGTGGCCAATTCCCTGCACAGGATTCCGGGGATCAGCCTCAGCCTGCCAAGCTCTGTGCATGGAGCACTCAGGGCAGAGTGAGGGTGGAACTGCAGTGTCCTGGTCCCAGACAAGCTCTGCACAACCTTCTTCACTCCCAGCTCCTTCCAGGCATCCTCCCAAAGCTGCTTCCAGGTGTTTATGAGCTCTGTAAACAGAGAGGCAAAACCACCATGACCATCATCTCCCCAGTGTGGTCAGGAAGTCTCCCACTGGGCAGAGGAGCAAACAGGTAGCTAGGAATGAGCAGATATCCCAGCTCTTGTAGGAGCTGGTGGCCTCAGCCACAGGGATTAGCTCCAGGCAGGGCTCTGAGCAGCTCCTGGCTGGCTCCCAGCTGGGCTCTGCAGCCCCAGTGCCCGGGGAGCACAGGGCTGGTGGCACGGGCTGTCACCAGGGCACGCAGGGTGTCCCAGTGCCACGGGGTTCTCAGGGTATCACAGGATGTGGAACAGCTTGTGGCACTCACTTGGGCCAGACTGAGGCCTTTCAGTAATTGCCATGTTGATTTGGAGGCTGCAGGGCTGGGAGCTGATCCGCAGTAATTGCGATAAGTCACTCGTTAAGGGCATTGCAAAATTAATCTCATTATGAGAAACCACTCTTTTGTTCCAAAGATGATTTCCTTCCAAATGAGGCAGAGTGGGTGGGTGGTGCAGGGCACTTTGGCACTGCTGCAGGCAGTAGTGGGGGTAGGGGAGGGTGGGTGGTGGGCACAGCTGGCAGGGCTCGGTGGGACACGGAGAGTGCTCAGAGCCACTTGTGGCAGCTCTGAACTGGGAACTGGGGGCACTGTGGGAGAAAGGGAAATGAAATTACGAGCAGCTCTGGGGTGAAATAGCTGAGATTCCTCCCAGTTACTGCTGCTTTGAGAACTAGGGGCTTGGAAGGGGCTGAGCACAGCCAGCACCTGCAGCCTCCCAGGTGTTCAGCAGTGGGCTCCCCTTGGATTTGCTGCAGTTCAGTTTGTGCCACTGCTCAGAGATGCTGAGCCCCTTCCTGGGGGAGCTTTGGCAAATCCCCTCCCCACCTGGAGCACCCCAGCAAAGCCCCCCTTGTTTTCCCAGGAGCAGCTGCACACCACACTGTCCTCCACAAAGACTGTGGCAGGAGGGGATTCTTGGTGTGTGGGGCACTTAAAAAAAAAATCTTCCCTTGCTGATTTTTCTTCACCCACATATAATTTTCCTGTTGTGATGGCATTTTAATGGATCCCTTTCTGTCTCTGTATAACATTTAACTCACTGTGTTCTCTTTGTCTTTCCCACAGCTGTTTGTCTCATGTGTGTGTGGTGTGCTGCCAGCCTCTCAGACCCCTCTAGAAGATAACACCACTTTCCTGCCACGTGAGCTGTCTTCAAGCCACTGTGCCAGCACCCACTTCTCCTTCCCCACTGCACCAGGCCTGTCTGAGGCCCCAGTTGAGAAAAAAAAGTGGAAGAAAATACGTTTTTTTAAATGATTTTAACGTGTTGAAATCAATGCCCTAGCCACAAGTTCCATCAAATGGAACCCTTCAGCTGGCACTTGGAAATCTGATGAGGCCTGGTTTGTATCTCACATTCCCCAGGGATACAGTGAACTCCTGTTGGGCAGGAGGCAGCTGGCCTGGAGCAGAAACACAGGTTTCTAAACAGGACCCTTTAGGGCAGTAAATACCATAAATTTCTCTGTGCAAGCAGGTGATTTTTCCCTTCCATTTCTGCAGTCTGTCTGAAACAATGACACTCTGGAAATGAGATGAAGAAATGGTGTCTGTATAGAAGGTGACCTGGAATCAGAGATGCAGCTGAGAGCAGAGAAGGCTGAAAAGCTGTTCCTCAGCTCTTCCATCATTTATCAGGGTGTCCCAGGAGCTTGTGAATCAGCAGGGGAGGTTGTACAGCCCTGTGAGCAAGGATCCTGCTGTCCTCGAGCTTTTTCTGTCCCTTGATGTGTCAGTCCTTTCCCCCTCTCCCACAGGGGGCCAGCACAGCATCACTGCTGGGTTTTGCTGCCCTGTTTGTCCCTGCTGAGATGGTCTGTGCTGCCCACTCAGAGCTGCTCATGGTATTCCCAGCAGGAAAAGCTTCCTCCCCTCACAACACCACTGTGAGAACTTTTTTTGGTGCCCCACTGGCCAGGCTGGGTCTGGGTCAGGGTCAGGGCTGGCTCGGTGGTGCTGCTGTAGGGATTGGGCTCTGCTGCTGAAATGGTGAGTGGGCTTCTCAGAACCAAGTGACAGCAAAGGGGGGTGTTTTTCTGCCTTGTGCGGAAGAGTTTCTCCCTCCTGAGCAGGACTGGTGATGGTTAAAGTGCAAAAGCAGATCAGTGTCCCCACAAAGCAGCCCTGGGAGAGCATCTTGCCTTTCCCAAAACAGGGGCAGTTTGGGGTGCAAGGTGCAGGGAGGTGAGGGGAGAACAGAGCTGCCTGTGGCATTCAGTACCAGAATCTTCATCCCTCATCCCTCACAAACTGCACTTCTCCAAGGCATGCTGCAGACCCCACCTGCCACAGGGCTCATTTGATAGAATAATTTTGGCATGCAGGTCTTGACTGAAACAGGAGCTGAGCAACTGAAACCCTGCTTGAGCCTTTAAAGGTTTGCTGGGAGCATCCCTGACTTAGCCTGTCTTTCCTTCTCCCTTCTGCAGTTTATTCCACACAAAGTAACTGTGCTTCAAAGGAAGCTGTGTGAATAAACACCCTGCAGTTAATTCCTTGCCTTCGATTGCCTGCTCATTTGTGGATGACATGTAACATAGGCTGAGTTATTCAAATCACAACGTAAACACCCTTTGCACAGCAGATACTGCTTCTGAGGCTTTTAATTGTGGTGTTTATATTTTGCAATGTGTTGGTTCCTGTCTCCTTTAGCTAATATTGAATGATCTAATCTGTGTCTCGTAAATGAATCTATTTTAGCTCCATTAGAATAACCCCTTAATTGAAGGCATACAGACAGCCTGTGATGGGAGAAGCAATGCTAAACAGTAAATACAGCTAATGGGACAATTTACGGTGTGGGGATGCTCTTAGCTTTGATGATACCCTGATTAGCTCAGCTGCTGTGTTTGATTTTAATTGTAATCAGAATTAATTGGAGAGCGCTGCACAACAGCAGCCCTGCAACGGTGTTTCCATGTCTCAAAAAAAAAAAAAAGGCAAGTGTAAGCACCCATCCCAATTTAATGATTTTTTTTTTTGTATATTTTACAGAAAAATACGATGGAATTCTATAGGAGAGAGGTGAGTGGTGCTTCCTGCACTTCTGAGTGTTCATCCTGTGTGAGTTGCTTACACCAGGGTGGCTCAAAGCTCTCTGTGAAAGCAGAATCCCTGCATCATGGAGCTTTTATCAATGTAATTTCAGGACATTCCCTCCCATTGCAGCTCTCCCAGTGACGGGAAGGCTCAGGCAAGGACAGACACCAGGGCTGAAATCCAATAGATCAGAATTAGTGGTGGGGAAATCACAGTGGCGCCAGCACAGAGACAGCCAAGAATCAATGATAATTACATGCTAAATCATCCAGAGCATTGGTAGGTGCTGAGGATGGTAGCTATTATTCAATTTCTATATAACATTGGGGAGTGCTTTTTAATTACTTGCACATTGCAAAGTGCGTTTCTGATGTTTGCAGTAAGCTCAGTGAAAACAGACATTTTACTGAGACAGTTCAGGGATCCTCTGGTTCCTTGGACATCCAGTAATTAGGGAAGAAGCAGTCCCTGCTGTAATTAGCTCCACTTCCTGGGAGAGAACCTGTTTGAGGTTTAGATAGGCCTTATCTTGAAGCCTCCATGATCCTAACCATGGCCATGTCTGATCTCCTCAGATCATGTACTATCAGCAGGCCATCTTGAAGACCAGAGTGAAATCTTCTGTCTCTCTTGGAGGGTAAGTCCTGATTTCCTTCTGTCCACACATTAATTAGTCTTCAGTGCTTATCTCCTAATGAGCTGATGAAGCTGTCTGCTCTGGCAGCTGGTGACTCAGCCAGGGGATCCATGTGGTGGCCCAGTGCTGTCTGGGCTGTCTGGGAGGAGGAGGCTGAGGAAGGATCAGAGTCCCAGGCAGGATGAAGACGCTCTCTGGGAGCTTTGCTGCAGGGCAGCACCAGCCCCTGGGCTGAGAATCCCACTGAAGTCAGGAGATGCTGACACTGCTTTGGTCAGCTGTGATGCCTGGGCACAGCCCTGCAGCCAGGGGAGGATCCAGCAGTGTGTCTGTCCTTCAGGAGGAGCAACCAGCAGGACAGACTGACCCTCCTGTCGCTGGTCCCACCCTGGGCTGGATTCACCCCCAGGAGTGTCCCCATGGTGGTGCCCACCTCTGGTTGTGCAATACTGGTTATTCTATACTGCAGAGGGGAACAGCCTCCCCATGAACATCCAAGCAGTTAATTAGCAATTCCCCTTCCCAGTGGGAGTGTTTTCTGATCACATTCTTGATGAAGCCTCCAGCCCTGGCATTAGGCATTGGTGTGTTTGCCAGAGGCATTCCTACCTGGAGCCTCCCGTGCTGACCAGGCTCCTCGAGGTGCAGCCCAGAGCACCTGCCTGGTTTGCACTGCCATTGCCACCAGGGATTCCTGTCACATCTGACATAAACAAGGTGCTCACGCCAGTTCCCTGGAGAAGACAGTCTTGGATGAGTGGAATGGGTGGAAGAGAGTCTTCTGGTCTTCTGAGAGCCACAACTTGCAGGGCACCAGCAGCTCTGTTTGTTCTGTCACTGACTTCCAGGTCAGTTAAAATTCTGCTGCCTCAATTCTCCAAACTGTGAGCTGGAGCTGGGAACACCTGGCTGCTTTCCAGGAATTCAGTGGTGTTTCACTGTTTGGCAACGGGGCTTTTCTCTCATTAGCTCTGGTGGGATGATGCTTATCACCTAGATCAAAAATCTCAGGAACTTTGGAACTCCACAGTGTCAGCTACAGGGTTGGGTCCAAATCAAATTATTATTAATGAGGATTTGAACAGCAGCTGGGCAGTGTGCATGCTTCAGAGCATTGCAGTGATTTGGGAGAAGCTGCAAAGCTCTTCAAGACCACACAGCAGTGCTACCTGAGCTGACAGGTTTAGATTTGCTTGGTCATGGGCTGGAGTGCCTGGTGCAGGTGCTGGATGCCTTGGCATTCCCAGGGGAAGGTAGGATGGAGCAGCTGTGTGCCAGCCCTGTGGTTTGCTCTGTGCAGGAGCATTGTATAAGTGCAGGATGTGTGCCAAGGGGCCTGTTAGCAACAGGCTCCTGGACACTGCACTCCCAGCTCTGAGCACATGAAAGCACTTTGGCCTGGAAGGAATTTTAAATGCAGAAACCAGAGGATTTTTTTTTTCTTTCAAGAATGAAAAAGGGAGGCGGGAGCTAAAATTCCAGGACATTAATGAAATCAGTTGTAATTAGAAGTCTGGCCAAGTTAGAAGGTAGGAGAAGTGTTTGTCTGGTTCCTGATGGGAGAGAGACAGCTCTGCTTTGTGCCAAGCCCTCAGAGCCAATCGCAGAGGAATGAGCCCTGTGGTAGGTGATGGGGGAAAGGAGAAGCTGGGATGAGCCCTCAGCATTCCCTCACTTTCCCAGAGTTCCCTGAGTTCTCCCAGGGCCCATGGGAAGGCTGCAGAGAGCCCACCTGGGTGAGCACAACCCCTGCGTTCCTTTTCCTGGCACTTTCACCCAGAGCAGTGCAGGATCAGGCCCTGGCCAGCTGAGAACAGAAGGAGACAGAAACTCTCCTTAGAGTCCTAAATCTCTCTTCCTTATAATGAAAAGGCAGAAGGAGATGATGGAAGAGAGTCTTGTACCTTGTATTTGAATTGACAAACTTACTGCTTTGAAAGACAACCAGGAGACTTCTGCTGGGAAATGGGAAAGATTAACTGAGCTAATGAATTGATTTTTCCAGGAAGCCACCTTCCAGATCCCTGTGCTGAGAGTCCTGCACCTCTGAGGAGATCTGTAATCTGTTATTTGGCTATAATGGGGCTGGCTGTAATTCTGCCTTCCAAATTCATATTTTGATTTTGGATTTGTTGCAGGGTTGTGAAGTACTCTGAGCAGTTCCTCTCCAATGATCCCATCCTGTCTGGATGTCTCCCCAGCAACCCTTGGATATCAGATGACCCTGACTTTTGGGATCTCAATGCAAAGCTGTATGTATTTCTGTTGTTTTGCCAACCTGTGGTTTACAGTGACCTTTATACTGATAGAAATCAGGAAAGGGAACCACTGATTTTCGTTGTGCTGTCTGATCTCTGCTCCTGAGCAGAGAAGCGTTCCCTTTCAAACTCATTTTGAAATTGGGAATACTCCATGCTGAACTTTCAGCACTGCCTTCTTCAAGTGGAGCCTTCCTTAACATCACAGAAATTCCTGAGCTGATGATGGGAGTGTACACTCAGCCCCTGCTGGGTGGGTCTTATCTGCCCTGGGATGAGTGAAGCCCACCCTAGCCAGCACAGGAATGGAACAGGACCAGCTCAGGGTCCAGCTGCCCCCCTGGCCCTTTGCTCACCCCTCAGGCTGCTTCCTTAGGAGAGGCTTTGGGTTGGAGGCACACACTGGTGGTCCATCCCTTCTCTGAGGGTTTTCCCTTTGGATAGGGTTTGCTAATTACACAGTGGCATCTCGGGGCTTGGAGCATCCAACATCTCAGTGGTTCTGAGAGCAGCAATCCTGGACTCATTGTATCCCATTAGACATCCCCAGGGGATGCCTGCACTGAGTGCCTTTATGAGAAGCAAAGCTCTGGGCAGTGCCTCCTGCAGGATGGGACTGAGTCAAACCTCAGGGCAGGGCTGGGCTGTCACTGTGAGAGCTGCAGAAATCCCAGTTAAATCCTCATCCCGCTGCGGCCCGAGTTGTTTAATTACAACTTACTTAGTGGGTTGACTTCAGGAGCTCATTACACCACTCTGGAAAACAAGAGAATGCTGAGAAGTCCCTTGGCACTGCAGCAAAGGGCATTTTGGTTTTAATTAATCTGCTAATTAGAGAAAGCAGCGGTGCTGTTTGTGCTCTCCCTGCAGGGTGGAGGTGCCCACCAGGATGCGCGTGGAGCGATGGGCCTTTAACTTCAGCGAGCTGATCCGGGACCCCAAAGGCCGCCAGAACTTCCAGATCTTCCTGAAGAAGGAGTTCAGCGGTGGGTGGCAGTGTCCCTGTGCCCTTGTCCCCAGGCTGAGGTGACATGGCACACGGCTGCTGCAGGCTGTGCAGCCAGGGCAGGCGGTACCATCTAGTGGCACGGGACACACGGTACAGCCCGGCGTGTCCCCACCGCGGGGATTGCCGCAGAGGGTTTGGGTTGCAGTTTAGGAAGGAATTCTTCCCTGTGAGGGTGGGGAGCACCTGGCACAGAGAAGCTGCCCCTGGATCCCTGGAGGTGTCCAAGGTCAGGTCAGACAGGGCTTGGAGCAGCCTGGGACAGTGGAAGGTGTGCCTGCTCATGGGACTGAGATGGACTTTCAGGTTCCTTCCACCTCAGAGCATTCCATGATTTTCTGACTGCTCCCAGAAAAGCTGGAACTGGCCGAGCTCACAAGTTCGTAGAGGTGTCAGTGAGCAGAGAACGGGGGAAAGCTGTTTTCCTCTCGCAGTCACTGGAGAGTGACTTCGGTCAATTGGAGAGACTGGTTTGGGGCCAGCAAAGTGTGCCAGGCAAATCCAGGAGTTAATAAATGGGATTGTGTTTTCCTCAATCTCACTCTCTGCCAACTGTGTCCTTGTCATGCAGGAGAAAATCTGGGTTTCTGGGAGGCCTGTGAGGATCTCAAGTATGGAGACCAATCCAAGGTCAAAGAAAAAGCAGAAGAAATCTACAAGTGAGTGTGAAAATTTTCCACTCTTTCACTCTTTGTGCATGAGTCCCATCAGCTCCACAGGTTCTCATTCTCCAAATGATTTATTCCTAAGATTTTTACGTGGAGGCTGTTATCGGATGTGGCTGTCTTTTGTCCCCACACAGGAAAGGAGCTTTTGGAGGTGAAAGTAGAAGTGGTTTTTTATATATATATATTTACTTTTCCTCTCTGTTCTCTATTACATTTCAGTCTCAGAATATAATTTAAGTATCAGTGTGGAATAGCAAACTTCTTGAGGCTGCCACAAGCAAAGTGGGGAGAGGCTTTTTGCTTCTGTTGAGCTAAAATTTGGCTTATATTACGTGCAAGAGGAAGTGAGTGCACGTCTCTGATGAAGAGAACATTGCTTGCCCAAGATCAGGACAGCAAATTGCAGCAGGAAGCTGAAGGGACTTTTCCTTTCATGCATAGACAGGAATCTGTGAATTCTCCAGCTGCTAATGGCACTCTTGATTCCTCCTCTTGGCAGGCTCTTCCTGGCTCCAGGAGCAAGGCGCTGGATTAACATCGATGGCAAAACAATGGGCATCACAGTCAAAGGCCTGGAGCACCCTCATCGTTATGTTCTAGATGCTGCTCAGACCCACATTTACATGCTGATGAAAAAGGTTTGTTATTTGTTGCCAGAGCCTGAGGGGGATTCCAGCCCTCTGGGCCGTCCAGTGCCTTTGTGTGCTATCAGCTGTCCCTTTCAAGGGGCCTTTGTTTGAAAATCCCTCAAATTTGCTGAGTGAAGAGAGTGCTGCTTCAGGCATTTGTATTTTGCTGCTGCTCCTTCCCTCTCAGCCTGTCCCCAAGGTGGTGGGGGTCAGGTGGCTGTGTTTCAGTTCCAGCTTGGGCACCAGCTCATGTACTGAAAGCAGCAGAACTGGACTGATTTTCACCCGCTGATGAAAAGTTTGCCTCCCGGAATACAAACTCCTCACCTTGCAGTGACTCTGAGACCCTGCTGGCCCAGGCTAAGCTTCATTCAGATCTTTTGATCTGGGTCTTACCTGTGAAGCTTTATTGTGAGATGGAAAATCCTGGGAATTTTACAGCGAGATGAAAGGATATTGGTTTAAATAGCTACATTTGCCTGAAAGATGCAAAGTCCCTTGAGCTGCTGGGGGAGATTATCCAGTTCCCAGCCTCCCTGGCTCCTGAGCAGCTGTATTTGGTGGTGATTTTAATAAGGGTGTTTGCAGCCCATAACTACCAGTTTCTCTTTTTTCTCCTAGTAGGACTCCTATGGCCGCTATTTAAAGTCTCCAATATACAAGGAAATGCTGGCCAAGGCTGTTGTGCCACAAGAGGGTGTCAAAAAAAGGCAAGTGAAACTGGCTGTAATTGTGGGGTTTGTTTTTCTTGTTGTAGCAAGGGTAGAAAAAGCCCAAGTTGCAGCAAAATTACTATGATTTAGCTGTTCTCTTAATTAAATAAAATTTTGCACTGAGAAGATGCTTTGCTTTGAGACTGATGGTGCTGTTTATTCATGAGCCCTTTGGAAAAGGCTTGTGAACAGGAGTGGAGCTGCTGATTGCTCAGCTGCCTTCTCTGCTGGGTCTGCTGACAAGGGCTGGGATTGTTGAATTAATTCATGGCTCCTTTCCTGGAAGGACACAGCACTGGTGTCCTGGGCATGGGAAGGCTCCTGCCCATGAAATATTGGCTGCCAGAGCAGAGACAGACCCAAGGTTTGGGATAACCCGTGGGATCTGCTCATGCCTGGACAAAGTTCATCCCCTGGTGTCAGGGAAGGTGACAGGCATTTGGGAACAAGCAGCACCTTGTGAGTGACAGCTGCCACAAGGTGGATGGCATTGGAAATGGCTTTTTCCCAGCAAGATGAAGGTTATATAGCAAATTCAGGGCATTTGAGCTGCAGCTGCTCCTAAAGCTGAGCGTGCAGTGCCAGACTGTGTGGTGTTTCTTCCTCTGTTCCACTCATCAACCTAGCAGGCAAGAAAGAAGAATTGTGGACTTTCACACTGTTGTTTCATCTAAAGCCTGTTTTAAGTCAGTGGAAAAAGCCCTGCTGCTGCCTGGCCTGGGGTTAGGTCAGTTGTTCCCTGAGCCACACATCCCGAGGTCACTAGCAGATGCTGTCTGATCCTGGTGGTCCTGCCTTCGTGTTTGTCAGTGCTTGTTCTGGACCTCCCAGACCTCAGCATCCCATTAACCTGGAGCTGGTGCCTCATCCAGAGGTGGGTTAGCACCTGTTCCCACTGCTGGGCATTGCTGAAGCAGGTAGTAGATGTTTTTGGGGGCATCACAGACACCAGGAACACCCACATTGGTCCTTGCCTTGTTCTTCCCAAGGGCCCTGGAGAAAACTCCACGGATGGAAGCTGTTTGGCTTCACCCTGAGTGTGAGTTGTGTGCAAACACAACAAAGGAGTGATGTGGGTGTGCCCTGGAGTCCCTCAGGAGCAGGACTTTGACACTTTTAACAGTCCTGTAGCTTGCGTGTGACACTGACTCACCCAGTGCTGTTCAAAGCTCCTTTGGCCATCTCTGAGTCCGAGCTTGTCCTCCTGGGTCACTTTGCTTGCCAGGGGGGAGGTTTTGGTGCCCTTCTCCTCAGTAACCCTCTCCTTCCCCTCTCTCTGCCCAGCACGGGTTTGTTTGGACGCCGCCACCTCCGCTCCAGCCCCAGCCCCATCATCCTGAGGCAGCAGGAGGAAGAGGCCAAAGCCAGGGAAGCCGCCAACACCGTGGACATCACGCAGGTCATGAGCAAGCTGGATCGCAGGAACCAGCTCCAGAAGGAAGCTCCTCCCAAGTAGGCTCTGAGCCCCGCAGGGAAAAGACAAGGCGAGGCTGGTGTTGAGCTTCGTCTCCCCTTCCTGAAGGTGTCAGTGCTGCTTTAGGTTTCCCAGGCCGGCTCTGCTCTCCGCCGGCTTCCCGCACGTTGCCATGGCTTCTGGAGAGCAGATGTCCCTTCCCAGGCAGTGCCGGGCTGCTGCTGTGCCAGTCTCGGGGTTCAGCACCCCGCACACCTCGGGGGGGAGATGCCCCCACACAGCCTGCAGAGCCCGGCTGCCTGTCCCTGCTGCTCCAGGAGTGGGGTGGCACAAGGCAGGGTAGAGCTGTGCCCCAGTGCTGCGGGTTCAGACCAGCCTGCCTTGGCACCGAGGGGGATGAGCCCGCGGGGAGCAGGGCGAGGTCACCCAGCCCAGAGTGTCCCTGCTGGCCTCCATCCCCTCGGGGGGCTCTGCACCCTCCCAAGGGCCGCATCTGGTACCCCCTGAGAGGAGCACACCCCCACTCCAAGAGTCCTGCACCTCCAGCCAGCACCACAGGCAGAGGAGCTGCTTGTGGGGGCAGCAGCAGGAGCATTTCTGAAGGTTTAGCTGACCTTCTGAATTTGAATGACACTCCCAAATCCCCTGGCACGCTGGAGATGATCAGCAGCTCTGCTCTGCTCTCCCTGTGACTCCTGTGCTGTGAGCTGGGTGTGCAGGTGCAGAGAGCTGCCCCTTGCCAGAGTCTGCACGAGGCCAAGAGAGATTTTATCCAATCCTTCCCACCTCTTGTCTTGTCTTTTTCCTGCTCTTCTATTTTCTATTGTTAAAAATCCAACAGGAGGTAGCTGCAGTTGTCATTGGCTTGTAGCCCAGAGGCAAGGGAGAACAGGGTAGAGGTGTTAAGAGCAGATTGCAACTTTAAGTAGTGTTTTCTTTTTCATTTGCTCTGTCTCTTTTGCTCTGTAGAATAAGGCAAGCTGAAATACCACATTAGTGCTAAAGAGCTCAGGTAGATTCTGGGCCTTGCTGGAGAAGCCCAGCATGCCTGGAGCAGGCCAATGGTTACCAGAAGTGTGAAGATTCCTGCAAAGGCCAGTAAAGGGAACTGAAGGGGCAGAAAAGCTTCCTTGTTCGTTAAAATTTTGGGGAAGCAAAGGCAGTGGGTGGAAGCACTGAGGTCTGGGAAACTGCCTCTCTCCAGTTCACATTGTTCATCCCTTTTTAATACCGGTAGGATTTTACAGAAAATGGGAGGTCATAGAACCCCAGAATGGTTTAGATTGGAAGGGATCTTAAAGCTCATCTCATTCCACCCCCTGTCATGGGCAGGGACACCTTCCACCACCCCAGGGTGCTCAGAGCCACATCTAGCCTGGCCTTGGACACCCCCAGGGATGGGGCAGCTTCTGGAGAGAGCTGGCAGGGAGTGGGAGCCCTGGGATAGTGGGGTGCATGCAGGCCCCTGGAGCCCTGGGGTCCTTGCAGGGCAACTCCCAGTGAACAGGGGACAGTCATGATGTCACTGTGTCCCCAACAGCTCCGACAGTGACTCTGGCCCTCCCCATGGCAGGATCAGGGCTGGACACTGATCTGGTATCACTCCTCCACTTGTGGCTGAGCCAGGGAGGTTGTCCTGCCCTTCCTTACCCCAGCAGTGATAAACCTCCTCAGAGGAATTCAAACTGAGTCACCCCAGACCTTCCCTCTGATGTCTGTGCTGAGTCTGTTCTCACTCCTGCTGGAAGCACAGGCACATTCTGCACTGCTGGACAAGGGAGCAGGCTCAGGCTGCCTTATTTAAAATTTAAACCCCAAGGCTTTGTTACATCAGGTGCCCTCAGTCTGCTTGGACATCAGAGCACTGGCAGACACTCCAGAACCTGGCAGGGCTGGCCCAAAGCCACTGGGCTGTGATGAACTCTGCAGTCTCTGCAGAGTTTGTGTAACATGGAGCACTGAGCATGTTGGGATTGCAAGTATGTAGTAACATGTGGAAGATCAAGTCAGGGTATAAATAATAAATAACAAATCTGTGTGTTCCCGTCAGTCCCTCTGATTCTACTTCTATTTTGTCTGCTGCTTTGCTTGTTATGTTCTCTGTATCCATTCCTTCCTCTGATTTTTTATCATCACTGCTTGGCATCACTGCTCTCCTGCCATGGGTTGTGTTGCATGCTCGGGAGTCACTGTGCTTGTGGAACACCAGTTACTGTGAGGAACACCAGTCAGTGCTTGTGGAACACCAGTTTTTTGCTTGTGGAACAAGCAGCCATCCTTCACACCCAGGCAGGAGCTGTTTTTGCCCTGCCACAGGCTGATGGAGCTCACAGCCTTCTGCTCTTCATCCTCTGCTGCTCAGCCCTGGAAGAGGAAAGTTGCCTGGTACAAGCTGAACTTCACTTTGTGCCAGCCGAGAAATTGTTTGTTTCTATGTGTTGTTTAATTTTTTTGGCCATGGCTTCCATGCATTCATCTGTCTAATAAAAATAAATGTAGAAAACAGAAAAAGAGCCAAGATCCTTTTTTGTCGTGTCTCAGTGTGTTCATCCTTCTCTGTGCCATCTCTGCATGTGTGTGCATGTCCTGCGTGTGCCTCTGTCTCACTCCTTGGACACTTGAGCTGCATTTCATTTTGCTGGGACTAAGTCCTTGAGAAATGGGAGGGGACCTGGCATGCAGCATGTGCTGTCCGTGTCCTGTCCAGTCTGTGCTTGGGCTTGTCCTGAGGGCTGACTGAGCAGTGCTGGAGCCTCCCCAGCCCCAGCCAGGGACACTGGGGTTCCAGCATGACATGTCACTGGTACTAGGAGCCACCAGGGCTGGGGCTCGGGGTCTGTCACCCCGGTGGTGCCGTGGGTGTGACATGGTTGTGCTGTTCATAACCAAGATCACATTCCGGGGATGACAGCCTCCTCCGTGCCTGCAGTAATCGTGCTGAGGAATGACACAGGCTGGTGTCTCCTCCAGCATCCCGGCGGGTGTGGGGCTGCATCTGTCAGCACCCACTGGGGCTGTGGCAGCAGTGACCCCGCAGGCAAGTTGTGACACCGCAGTGCTCTGGCAGTGGGAGGGCAGGGAAGGGGACAGAGCTGCAGGACAGGGGGACAGCGGCACAGGCATGGCTGGGGTGGCCCAAGCTTCCTCCCAGCCGAGCCCTTCTCTCCTGGCAGCACCAAAAAAGAGGGATTCTCCTCATGGAGAAGCCTGGGGAGCCCTGGGTGTCACCTCCAGACCTGACCGAGCCTCTCCTTTTCCTCCCCACAGCCAGGCCACCTCGCCTCCTGCTCCCCCGGCCCGGCTGCCCACGCTGGCCCCGGCACCCCGGCATCGCCACCAGCCGCCCCTCAGGCCGTGCCTGCCGTGTCCCCCGAGCCCCCAGCCCTGCCCCAGGGCCCCGCCTGCCCCTCAGCCATCAGCCGGGCCCTGGGCAGCACGGCGGGCACCCAGCCGGACCCGCGGGCGGCCGGCCCCGGCCCCTTCCCGTCCGGCGGCCGCAGATCCCGCCTGGCCGCCCGGGCCTGGGCCCGCTTGCTGCGGAGGGGCTGCCGGAGCTCGGGCAGCCTGGCCACGCTGGCGGCCCGGTGCCCGGCCGTGCCCCACGGCAAGGTGCAGCCGCTGGGCGGGCGGGAGCGGCGGCTGCGGCCGGACAGCAGGACGGTCAGCAGGTGAGCAGCGCACGGACAGACGGACACGCACCTGGGGAGGGCTCAGCTCAAGGGCCGGTTCGGTTTGGGATTAGCCAGAGGGAGAGGACCCTGAGAACCTGTCTGGCAGTCACCTTTGCCACACTTGCCCCAAACCCCAGGCTCTTCCCTGTCTCCACTCCTGCATTTTCCAATGGGAGCAGGCCAGGAGCCCGTGCTGGCTTACCTCTGCTACTGTCACACCTCCTGTTCAGGGTGCAAAACCCCAGGTTTTACTTTTAATCCCTGAATTTGGAGAACCTCAGTGTTCTTGAGCACTGACTCAGGTTTGGTTTAGTGATTTCAAGTGAGAGGAGAATCAGAACTGACAAGGGAGGGGAAATCTTGAGCGAGAGTCGCTAAGTGTTTGTCGTTCCAGGGGAAATTTTTGGGGAATTTTTGGGGAAGTTTTGCCTGGCAAGGCTGCCCCTGCAGGAACCAAACCCTGGCCATGTCCCTCACCAGGAGCAGCATGTCCCTGATCCCGTTTAACCCACCTCTGCTGCTGGCCAAGTGGATGAGTCCACATTATAAATTCCAAAGCACAAACCTGAGGGCTCCTGCTCTACCTGGCTCCACACTCCGGAGCTCTGTCACACGGCATTGCAGCTTCAAAGGAGCAGCAGCACACATTCCCTTCGTCCTCCCTCTCCGTGGGCTCGTGCCTGGGAGTTTTGCTTTGGGATTTGGGGCTGGAATGGTGGAAATCTCAAAGCTGAGCTCACTCGCTGCCTCGGAGCACATCAAAAAGCGCCGTGTGTGTGATGAGTTTGTGTTTCCCAACGCAGCTTCTTCCAAGTCCGAACAGCCGTGCCTCCGGAGAGCCCAGCCTGCCCCGGGGGCTCCGGGCAGGGAGAGGACAGGCAGCACCGGGCTCGGAAGGACTCTGCAAAGGAGCTGATCTGCCCCTGGGAGACCCCCACGGAGCAGGGGAGAGCCGGGTAACCCTGACACAGACACTCCTGCCAGGCCTGAGACTGCAGTGTTTGCCATGCGTGGCTCAGCACATGGTGGAGAAGTGTGTTGGAGCCATCCTCCAGCAGCAGGGACACCCAGACCACCACAGCTCCGGATAACAGCCCCTGGTGTACCCAGCTGTTTGTGATCCAGGAGCTCCAAGCCTTTCTGGACTGGTTTTCTTTCCTGTCTTTGGTGTGTTCTGTTCTGCTCATGACAAACTCGTCGATAAACGAGCCTGGTTTCATGCCTTGGAGCAGATGGAGGACGTGTGGGTGATGTCCTGGGAAACAGTGTCTTATCGGAGTTTCTGCCTTGGCCATGAGGTGTCAGCACACTGAACACAGCACAGCTGGAGCAGGGCTGGCAGGGGGCTGGCAGAGCAGGACTCAGGCTTCAGTGCCAAAACTGGGGCGTGTTTGTGTCCCCATCCTATTAATTACAATTTTTTAAATTTTAAAGCGTGCTGATTAAGAGGCTGGGGAAAATAGAGTGCCCTTCATGAGATGCTGAGTGGCAAAGCATCATTCCTTCATCCAAACCAAACATGATCCCAGAGGCATCAGGGAGTGTAGAGCCCTCCTGCATTAGCTCCAGCTTCCCATTGCATGGGTTTGAAACCATGGCTCGACCTGTGAACACCTGGGGAGATCCAAGCCAAGTCCCTGTTGGTGTTTTGGGCCCCTCCAAGCTGGGATTGATGTGTTGCCACAGGCTGTGCTGATATTGAGTGTTGGATTGTTGCCTTCCTTGTGTCAGTGTTTGAAGGTGGTTGTTTTATTCCCTGGATGAGTTTCCTCAGTGTGTGTGTGCTGTAGGTCCCTGTTCTGTACCTTGGCCATGACCTGTGACTTCTGATGTTGCTGTTTTGTACTTTCTGATTATAAATGGAGTTTTTCCTGTGTGGCTGATGTGGTTCCACATGCTCAGTCCTGCTGTGGGATTTAAATCTGTCCTCACACACACTCAGTGCTCCCTGTTTCCCCCAGGTCTGGGCTGACACTTCCCATCGCAGAGCAGTTTGGGAAAATCAGAAGGCTGCTTCTGTCTCCAAAGAGTCTTTCCCAGGCTGCTGGCCCTCACTGCCCATGGTGCTCCTCTTGTACAAACACACATTGGCTCTTGGTGGCTTTGCTCTGTCAGAGGGACCTGGTCCTGCTCTGCTGCCACTGACATCTATTATTGATGAGAGACAAATCTGGTGTCTTCTGCAATTTTTTTGAGTGAGTATTGTTACTCAGCCACTCCTGGCAGGATGTTGGTGATGTGTAATCCAGGAAACACAACAGGAAGACATTGTGATTTGTCAGAGAAAAGAATATTATATTTAATATTATGTACATATGATGAGTGCCATCCTACTGTAAATACTTCTCATTGATTTCGGGCTTCTCTTGGGCACCTCCTTGCCTTTGAATAATCCTCATGTTCATCTTCCACACCAGAGGAAGGAGTTCAGATGCAAATCTGCTGCTCTGCCAGGGCTGGGACGCCCAGTGCAGCCAGGTACACACCTATCCCAGAGGCTAGCACTGGCAGTTCCCAACATTTATCCCTTTAGGGCACTGATTTTTATTCCCCAATATCTTCCAAATATCTTTTTCCCCAATATCCTTCAACCAGAGCCCTTTTCCCTGGGGGCACAGGGCATCTCAAGCCTTTGCCTTGGCTCCCCCGGTTGGAAATGGAGGTTGGAAATGACAGCTCCAGAGGCTCCGGGCCCCTCCTGCCACCGTGCTGTGACATCTGAGGCTGTGTCCCCTGCTGGAGGCCTGGCGTGCCGGAGTTGGGAGCGCTTTCAGCTCTGGCACTTCAAACCCCCTCGCTGTGCAGGAGCCCACTTATCGCTGCCTGGAGTCACCTGGAGGAATTAGCTCGCTGCAGCAACTTAGACATCCAAGGTATTCCTGTAATGTGAGGGATGTGTAAGGTTAATGACTGGAAAAAGTGATCGCTCCCTGTGGGCAGTTTCTCAGAAAACTCCCTGCTGCTTGGCTGCCAGAAGAAAGGAGATTCCAGCAGCAGCAGCAGCAGCGGTGAGGGAGCCTGGTGTCCCCTGCAGAGGCTCCTCTCTCCAGCCTCCCATGGCTGCACAGACCCTCCCACTCTGTCTCCGCGGTGCTGGAGGAGCTCCCATGCCCCAGATGCTGCTGGATGAGCTGCAGTGGTCCAGCTTTGGTTATCCACAGAATGAAACTGGAAGGAGATTCTTATCTGAGTGGTTCTCCAAGTGCTCCACTCTCACGTGTGGAGGTCTCACACCTGCTGTGGGGTGGGCTCCTCCAGCATCTTTCACTCAGGCTGATCCACAGGTGCTGGGATTTGTTGTTTGGACCAGCCTGGAAAATGAGAGCAGCTTCTGGGGTTCCCCTGCACCTCCATGAGAGCTCTTCCCAGGCTGCCTCAGCCACCAGCCTCAAGGGGACACTGTTGGGATAGGATGGGAGCGAGTCCCACGCTGGTGATCCTTATCCTTCTCCGGAGAGATGGGGCTGCCAGTTTTGGGAGTCACAGCCTGTGCTGGGGAGGAGAGCTGTGTGTGGGAGCATGGCCAGCTCGGAGAACCTGGCTAAAATCTCCAGGTTACGGATCTGTTTTCCAGGCATCTCTCATATCTCCCTTCAAGCCTGACATTTCTCTCTCCTCTCCAGCTGGGCCACACTGCCAAAGTGCTGAAAACACCGAGGGGCTGTTTCTTCCCTGGGCTCTGGGACCGTGCATTGCTCGAGCCTCATTAATTTAAAAATGGAACAAAGAATGCTCAGCATCCAGCAGGATCAGGCCTCTGGAGCAGGAAGTACCAGCTGGCTCGGGAGAGGGCTGGTTCCCATGGGATTCCCAGTGTGGTTTTGGCAGGCGGCGTGGTTGGGATGGTTCCTCAAGCAGGCTCTTCCTGCCTGGAATGCCAGCCCTGGAAGAACAGCTGACTCAGAGCGTGACAGCTCCTCACAGCATCCCCTCCTGAAAGGAGCTGTCAGGGAGGGTTCCTGACACCGCTGCCTCTACATTTTGTGCGGGTGGCTTGAAAGCCGAGCTGTAAGCCGAGCCCACGTCATGGTGCTCTTGGAAACGCCTGCCGTGGGTGGAATTCACCCCTGAGCAGCGCCTGGCAGCCCACCCCGCTCCCAGAATAGGATGCCAGCACAGCCCAAGTGCTTCATGCTGCATCCACCCCAACATCTGAATATCTGAGCTGTGATAAACACACAGTGACAGAATCACCGTGACTTGGCTCTTTGGGGTGCAAAGCCAGGCATGGAATAATTTTCCCCTTGCCACGAGGGATATGTTTTATGCATTTTGCAATACACCTGGCCCAGAAGCAGAGGTGAGCACCTCACAGGACCTCTTTCAGGCAGAGGTTCCCAGATCTGTTCTGCACCACGCTAAAGAGGAAAAGATAAGCTCTTGCAAGTCAGTTTATTTTTTAAAATTCATGTTGCCATAGCAGCTCAGCACACTGTCTCAAGTCCTCCTTCTTGCAAAACTTTGATCACCATGAAAACAGAATTATGTTGTTCTCCAACACATTCTATACATAAATATGTTGAAGTTCCCATAGTTCATGCCTCAACACCTCTGCAAAGACCTCTTTTATTTCTTGCTCACAAAGAATTTCTCTAGCCAGAGGTCAGTGTTTTAAGTCTTGCTTTAAAGGCATCTCCTCAGCACCTCTGTGGTCCTGCTGCTCATGTTCCCAGCCAAGGTTCTGGTTCCAGTGGTTTCTAACACATTCTGGTGCACCACAGCACTGAGC